CACTTTAATCTTCTTCTCATGACAGGTTTGTAACCAGATTCATTGATTTGGATGGCCTATCATGTATTCTCAACTTTCTAAAGACCATGGACTACGAGACCTCAGAGTCTCGAATACATACCTCTCTTATAGGATGTATAAAGGCGCTAATGAACAACTCTCAAGGTCGGGCTCATGTCCTGGCTCATTCTGAGAGTATTAATGTTATTGCTCAGAGTCTGAGCACAGAGAACATTAAGACGAAGGTGGCCGTGCTGGAAATCTTGGGCGCTGTGTGCCTGGTTCCCGGGGGCCACAAGAAGGTTCTGCAGGCCATGCTGCACTACCAGAAGTATGCCAGCGAGAGAACCCGCTTTCAGGTGGGTGCTTCCACACCACATCTTCATTCCTGCCTCATGACAGGTGCCTCTCCTGGCCCCTGGGTGGTGGTGGTGGGGAGGGTGCCTAACTTGAAATTTCCCCCTGTGGTGAGCATTCATATGTGGCTTCAAGTTTTTCCGTGCTCTTGGGTACAGTAGAATATTCTTTTGTAGTTGGTCATATGGGGTTGTGGATTTCCAGTAGTCCTCCCCTCTTACCTGCAGTTTTGCTTTCCACAGTGCTAATGACCCGTGATCAACTGCTGTTTGAAAGTATTAAATGGAAACTTCTAGAAATAAACAATTCATAAGCTTTAAATTGTGCAGCTGTTGTGAGTAATGTGATAAAATCTCATGCCATCCTGCTCCGCCCCTCCCAGGATGTGAATCATCCCTTTGTCTAGAATACCCACAACTTATACACCACCCCGCTGTCAGTGGAGGAAAAACAAAGTCTGTATAGGAGTATATATAGGGTTCAGTACTACCCACGGCTTCAGACATCCACTGGGGATGTTAGAACACATCCCTTGTGGAGAAGGGAAGACTGTTGCCCTGAATTTAAAAATGTAGCCCTCCCTCCTTTCTACACATTATGTAATACACTTTTCAATCCACTAAATGGGTGTTCTCTGAAAATTTTACAGATTGTCAGTCTTGATTTAGGATCAATATAAACAGTGAGATTATGTTACCACATTTTTTTATACTCAGGAAAAACAAGTAAAATTAATGAAGCACAGTCTTTTGTGTTAATACTTTGTATACATGTATGTATAAACATATATGATGTAAGAATTGTGAAAGTAGAGTTTTTAGGACTAATCTTAAGGAAAAAAGGTAGATTTCTATGGATCGATGTAATTTTGACTCAACACAAGGTTTTAAAAATTAACTTCTGAGTATTAAAAAATTAATAAAATGAATGTAAGGTAGTAACTATTCAGTCCTTTGTTTTCACATTTGTATCCTTGGTAGACGTTAATTAATGACTTGGATAAGAGCACGGGGCGGTATCGAGATGAAGTGAGTCTTAAGACTGCCATCATGTCTTTCATCAATGCAGTGCTAAGCCAAGGCGCAGGAGTGGTAAGAGCCTTCTGTGTCACAATCTAAAACATATATTGTTAAAGAACAATTTTTTAAAAAAATACTAAAAAGTATGTTCTCTAAAGAGCTTAAAAAGTATCCCATCACCCTTCTACTTTCAGGAAAGTTTGGACTTTAGACTTCATCTTCGCTATGAATTTCTGATGTTGGGAATTCAGCCTGTAATAGATAAATTAAGGGAACATGAAAATTCAACATTAGATAGGTAAGCCACAGTGTTACAAGAGATAGTGCATGTGTTTTCCATGTGTGTAGTGCCAGTCTGAACTACTTGTGACCTAAGGAAATTGTACCAAAATGTTAGACCAGGTAATGGTGGCTCAGACGGTAAAGTGTCTGCCTACAGTGCGGGAGACCTGGGTTCGATCCCTGGGTCGGGAAGATTTCCCTGGAGAAGGAAGTAGCAACCCACTCCAGTATTCATGCCTGGAAAATCCCATGGACCGAGGAGCCTGGGGGCTACAGTCCATGGGGTCGCAAAGAGTCGGACACAACTGAGCGACTTCATTTCACTTCACTTCTCAATAAAAGAAGCAGCAGATTGTGTACAGAACTTAGTGTAGGTTTTGAGATTAAATGGGAATTCATATCCTAGTGCTGCTGCCTATTTGCTGTGTGTTCTGATCAAGTTACTCAATTTTTGTGAACCTTACTGTTTTTATACCTGAAGAAATAGTGATGATGATGACAACACTATCTTTAAGGGCTCTTGTGAAATGTTACTGTAAAACATGTGGAATCACATGGCATCTTTGATAGACATTCTGTGCATGTTAATATCCACTTCCCTGTTCATTTGCTTGTCTGCAAATTTTACGATTTCTACCATACCCTACAAGTTTTCAGATCTTTCCTTTTACCACTCTTCTCCCTCATTCATGCACTCCACCATGCTTCTTTTCTTGATAGTCTACGATCACGTAGACTTGCCTCAGGGCATTTGCACCTGTTTCCTCAGCATTAAAAGATTGTCCCACAGATGTCCAAATTGCTTGTTCCTGTGCAGCGAGATCTTTTCCAGTCACTGTGTTCAGATTCTCTACTTTACTTCACCCCCATCATTCTCTACTCCCTTTACCTGCATGTATTTGTCTCCACGGAACTAATCATCCCCAGTATCAATAGCTAGGGGCTCAGTAAATATTTGTATAAATAAGTGAAAGGCATGACCGTTGCTCTGTAATCTTTAATTCAGTGGTCAAGCAAGTTACTTATATGGACTTATTTTTCCATGAAGAGATTCTGTGAGTGGAATCTGGATTTGGTTGCTTTTGGAATGTAAACTTTTATGAATTGTCTTCTACATGCCAGGCCTCCTAGGCTTTTAGATTTGTCTCTTGTAATGATCTCATTTGAGATACATGATGTCTTTTATTCCTTAGCACATAGTTAAGGGAAGGCATTTTAATTCTGTTGTGATTCTTCTTTTAGAAATATCTCTGAAATTTTAGGAAAGGTCTTAGTATTTATGTCCTGATTCCTATGTGCCTCTGTTTATAGGATGTTCTACTTTTAGTAAATTGTCTTTGTCTTTCAGGCATTTAGATTTTTTTGAAATGCTCCGAAATGAAGATGAGCTAGAATTTGCCAAAAGATTTGAACTGGTACGTATACTTACAATTATTCTGTTTTGACTCGGCAGCTCACAAATTTCCCTGTGGTAATGTGTGTCATAGAGTTGTGTAATATAAGAGCAAAATCACATTTCTGTTTTGCTACCTAAGTGGCAGGATTAGGCTCTATTTGCCTTGGATTTGCTTACCTTGTAGGAATTGAAGAACTTGAATGCTTGATTTAGATTTCTTTTTTATATGAAACAGGTTCACATAGACACAAAAAGTGCTACTCAGATGTTTGAACTGACCAGGAAGAGGCTCACCCACAGTGAAGCTTACCCGCACTTCATGTCCATCCTGCACCACTGCCTCCAAATGCCTTGTGAGTGTGTTTGTGATTCACACGTGTTTGTGACTGTGGGGACATCATTCAGAGGCCTCTGTCATCTGAACAGTGTGGCTCAGGTTGAGTGCACACCGGGGAATCCAGACCTTGGTTTTTGACGGCTCAGTGTGTCTGCGGGCTTCCCTGGATGCTCGGTGGTGAAGAACTGGCCTACCGATGCAGGAGACACGGGTTCGATCCCTGGATCGGAAGATCCCTGGAGAAGGCAATGGCACCCCACTCCAGTATTCTTGCCTGGGAAACCTCATGGACAGAGGAGCCTGGTGGGCTACAGTCCATGGGGTCTGAGTCGGACATGACTTAGTGACTAAACAACAACAACAACAAAGTTGTTGCACAGCTTAAGGGGTATTATAAAGCTCTCAGAATAAAATGAATTAAACCTCACTTTGATTTAAAAAATAAATATATGCCTTACAACACATATAGAAGGGGATAACAAGTACCTCTCAATCATGTAAATGATCAATGATTCCAGATTCCAGATATTTGGGAAGGCTAGTGTTTACTTGTCTGGTTCTGTGACTGGTGGGTGACCCCTGTTGAAAAATACTCATTAAAGTTTTGAAACCACTTGAAGTATTTCCACTGTTCTTTTCTTTTTTTAGACAAGAGAAGTGGCAACACAGTTCAGTACTGGCTACTCCTGGATAGAATTATACAGCAAATAGTTATTCAGAATGACAAAGGTCAAGACCCTGACTCCACACCTTTGGAAAACTTTAATATCAAAAATGTCGTCCGGATGTAAGTTGCTTCTTGTATTGCTGCCCTTGAGATAACAGCAACAATGTAAGACATTTGTTTTATCTTACTTCACAATAGCAGTTGGGAGAACTAAAGTGTTCTGGAGGTCAGATATGAGTTCCTATGTGTATACATGTAATATATGTGTGTAACTTCTGGATTTAAAATGGGTCTCAAGCATGCTGAGGACTTGCCTTGTGTTAAGCAATTTTTGTACCTAGAGAGCATGCATTTAGCAGTCGGTCTTTTGTGCTTTTTGTAATGAATGCTCCTTTAACTATTATACAGGTTGGTTAATGAAAATGAAGTTAAGCAGTGGAAAGAACAAGCAGAAAAAATGAGAAAAGGTAAATGATGAGGTGCTGACAAGAAAAGAGGTTGTGTTAATGGTTACTGGACAGCTCTCCTTACTGTATATTTTAGAAATTTGCATTGATGCTTCTTATTGACATTGGTGCATAAACAGCCTTTTCCCACCATCATGTCTTCAGGGCAGTCTGCCTAGTTTTTCTTGAATCAGACTCTCTTAGTTGTCATGTTGATTCCTCAATATTTTATCCTTTTATTATAATCATCTGCATTTTTTTAAGCATGTGCTGTTCAGTATTCATTAGTTCAGATTTTCTTAACTACCATTCATGCCAGCCTTCCCCATAACTGCTCTTTAAAGCACACTGGATTTTAAGAAATATAATAAGGGACACCCAGGGATTACCCAGAATTTTGAAAGAAAAGTTCAGGCCACTTGGTTTCAGCAGTCCAATTCTCCATTTGACCTTAATTTGGCACCAGTTATAAAAAGAGAAATCATGCAGAAAGTCATTGACCATTGTAGATGTTCATGTTATGAAATGTTAACAGGCCAGCTATTGATGAATCTCTCAATATGTCTTTGATATCAACACTTAGCATCAAGTAACTTGGGGGTCATGCCCATCACCATGACAACAACTCACAGAATGGTTGGAACTTTTCTCCTCCTTCAAAATTAGCAAGTTAAAGTTGGATGCTTTGAGAAAACAGTCATACTCCTGGCCACTACTCTTGCATTATGCTGGCACACGGACTTCCTTTTCCCTATCCAAGTGACGCATTCACACCAGTGGCATACACTAGCACTCGCCCCGATAGTCAATGTGTTGAAAAGCTAGTCCACAAGATGCTGAAGCATTTCCTTTCCTCATATCACATTTTGTCCATTGAGCAGAAAGGCAGTCTCACCACTGGTACTGGAAAATACAGAATATGAAGTTCTATTATATTATGGGTTCCTCATATGAATTCAGATTGGTCTTAAATAAGTGAGGTTGCACATACATTTTTATAAATTAATTCCAGAAACTGCTACAGAAAGAATAGAGACACTGGCTTACCGTAACTTGTAGGGTAAAGAGAAAGTTACACCAGAGAAGATGGTCAATGAATGAGTGATGTTTTGGGGATATACCCTGAAGCCCGGAGACTCAGGTGTGTGAGTTGAAGAGAGTACTTAGGACATAAGCTTGGGCGTCATTCATGTAGCAGGAATGTCCTGGATGGCTGCCAGGTCAGGTGCTATACTGGGCTCTGGGTCCGAGTCTCAGTCTCAGTCTGCCCCTGACTGGTATGTGAGTAGGCTAAGTCCTTTACTCCTCCAGTCTCTCTGCAAAGTCAAGCTTGAACTTAATAGGGTTGTTGTGAAGACTAAATGAAATATATGAGGACTTTAGCATAGAGCCTGGCATTTGTTACTTGCCTAATAAATGGTAGAGGGCTTCCCTGATGGTTCTGCAGTGAAGCATACACTTGCAATGCAGGAGACCATCTACAAGGCAGGAGACGTGGGTTTGATCTCTGGGTCAGAAAGATCCCCTGGAGAAGAAAATGACAACTGACTCCAGTATTCTTGCTGGGAAATCCCATGGACAGAGGAGCCTGGCTGGCTACTGTCCATGGCATCTGAAGATTTGGACACAACTTAGCAATTAAACCACCACCAACAAATGGTAGAGAGTTTTGTAGGATTTAGGCAGTTGAGATGGTACTAGAGGAAATGCCCGAGGTCAGTCAGAGGAAAGTTCCTAAGCCCTATCCCTGATCTATAGAATAGACTCCTGGAATGGGATCTGGGGGTTCTGAAATGTTAAAGTCTCTCAAGTGGTTCTGAGGCTTGGTCAGATTTGTCAAAGGCTAATGACCAGTGATAGGAAGTCAGGTCTTAAACAGTTGTCAATGGGATGGAGAGGGAGGTGGGAGGGGGGATCAGGATGGGGAACACATGTAAATCCATGGCTGATTCATGTCAATGTATGGCAAAACCCACTGCAATACTGTAAACTAATTAGCCTCCAACTAATAAAAATAAATGAAAAAAAAAACAGTTATCAAAGAGGAATGAAATGGAGATAGAAGAAGGAAAGGGAGATGCAGTGGGGTAGTTTTTAGATGTTGCTGAAGAAGTCAGGGAAGCATCTGTAGAATGGTAGATGTAGGTTGACGGTTATCTTACCTCCAAGGCTGGTAAAATCCAAGGAGTTTAGTGACTTGAACCCTTCTCTGCAAACTCTGACTTTGGAGGACGCAGAAGAGAGAAAGTAAGAGACAGAGAAAGCAAGCATTTTAAATGTGTTATCAAATTCAGTAACAGAGCCCAACTCTGTGTAGCTCTGTCCCAGTGGGTTCTATCTCTAGTGGGTTTATTGATATAAAAAGACTAGGGATTGGGACCAAGTATTTGAAATAAAAATGTGCAGCCTAAACCTCATTAGTCCTCTTTTTCAAAGAGCATCACTCTTGTCAGTGCTAGAGTCAGCAGGTGTGTTGGCTGCATAATCAAACATTATGCAAGATGGGATGCATTGTTCCATTATAGCAGGATTGGGGGAGTCAGTGGAACCACAGCTAAGAGGTAAAATTTTTCTTCTCTTATGGTTCTCATGCTCAGTAGGTAATCCTGCCCCGAAGGTGTTTAATGCTGAGATGATAAAATTTGCCCTCCCAAATTTTAATAATTGTTATGACAGAGCATACAGCACTTCAAGTCTAAGGGGCCCTCGAGGGGAGTGGGAGCAATGGCTCCACGTTGGGAGCATTGTCCATGTTGGGACAAACCCTGGGTGTGGCAGCCACACTTCCTCCCAGAGCAGTATCCTCCCTTTCAGCCCCTCCACTAGTTGGACATGAGCCAGCAAACCCAGCTAATGAACACTGGCCCTCTCTCGTCCCCATTTTTAAGTTGTGAAAAGGTCCTGTTAGTAGTCACTTTCCATAGTGCGGCTAAAGGGCCATTTCTGGGACAGGATTCTGAATTAAATACCAAGCAGGCAGCGTTCACCTCCCCAGATGGTTGCCCATGCTTGTGTCTCCTCTTGGGCATTGTGACTAGAGGGCCTCTTCCGCCTTTTACGGATGTAGTTGATACAGTTGTTCATCCAAAGCCCCCTCCAAGCGCGAGCACCGTTGAGCCCACGAGTCGCTCCCTTCAATGGAGAGGAGGAGTGATATTTGCCTAATAGAGAGTCTCCCAGACAACCTCAATCAGCTTCCTGTTTGGAGAAGAATGCTTCAGCTTTGGGGAGTCCACCATTTTCATGTCCAGTTGTTTTCCTGTGTAGAGCACAATGAGTTACAACAGAAGTTGGAAAAGAAAGAGCGAGAATGTGATGCCAAGACCCAGGAGAAGGAAGAGATGATGCAGACCTTAAATAAAATGAAAGAGAAACTGGAAAAAGAGACCACCGAGCACAAGCAAGTGAAGCAGCAGGTGGCGGACCTCACGGCCCAGCTGCACGAGCTGAGCAGGGTAAGACCCCCGGCCCGGGGCCAGGGTGCCTCCCTCAGCCCGGAGCCCCATCCTTAGGTAGCCAGCCCTGTGGGCGGGAAGAGAGCCTGAACCCTCTCCTGACCCATCACAGTGGTTGTACAGCCTGCTGCCTCTGCTGACCCTGCGCGTTAGCAGAGATGGGTGGGGGTGTTCGTTCTCCAGTGCAGATCCTCTCACAAGAGTGAGGAAATCACATCAGCTTCTTAAAATGAAAACTTGTTATCATGAAAACCAAACCGGAGGATGGTGCCACAGTGAGAGACGTAGCGCACCGTGTATACGTCCCTTCGACTCAACTGCCCCTTGAAGCCCACAGTCTCAGATGTGTGAATTCCTCTGTACCATGCGTGTTAGGCAGAGTGTCGGACTCTCAAAGTCGTCCGGTGGATTTACTTCTCCCGCTGACCTTGCCTTTTCCTATCTTTATTTTTCAGAGGGCTGTCTGCACTTCACTCCCAGCTGTACCCTCACCTGGAGCCCCCGGGGGACCCTTTCCTTCCTCTGTGCCAGGGTCTCTCCTCCCTCCCCCACCACCCCCACCTCTGCCAGGCGGAATGGGTCCTCCTCCGCCTCCTCCCCTCCCCCCAGGAGGCCCCCCGCCTCCCCCAGGGCCTCCTCCCTTGGGGGGAATCATGCCACCTCCTGGTGCCCCCCTGGGTCTGGCACTCAAGAAGAAGAACATTCCTCAGCCCACAAATGCCCTGAAATCCTTCAACTGGTCTAAGCTGCCTGAGGTAAGCCATTTGCTCACATTTGCCATCTCACGGACAGCATTAGCAGCCTACCATGTCGTCCCTGACAGGGGGACAGCCCTGGCTCTCCAGTGGTTTCATTTTCTCACATAGACTCGGGGTTCTCACTAGCGCAGATATTTAAGTGATAAAGCTTCTGAAATAAATGACAAGTTATTTAAAGCCAGCTCATTCTGAGCATCTGGTAAGCGAAAAATTTGGGAGAGCAGCACTTTTAAAAAAAAAAAATAACTGCATCTGTTCTTTTTGTGTCTAACTATAAACCCTAGCACTTATTAACTTGATGTTTGCAGAACAAACTGGAAGGAACAGTATGGACCGAAATTGATGATACAAAAGTCTTCAAAGTTCTAGATCTTGAAGACCTGGAGAGAACTTTCTCTGCTTATCAGAGACAACAGGTAAGAGCTTGTGCCCTCCAGATGGCTAAAACAGTTAAGAAGTTCATGTTCTTGTTCATGATCCCTGGGCCATCTGTCTTAACCATGCTGTGATGGGCATCTTAAGTCTAAGCCGTTTGGTCTACCCTGAAATGTTCCCACAAATAGCATAACACTTGGGTCTGCATGTGTGACTCGGTGCCTGTGTGTGTGTGCATACACATATGCATGTGTGTACATGTTGCAGGCATACAAGCTCTTTGTTGGAGAGAATCATACTCTGGTGTCTACAACCTTGTCTCCACTGGTGGAAGGAGTCTATCTTCTTGTCACTTGTGCTTAGTCAAAGGGGTCACCAGGTGAAGATATTAGTAGAAGAATTACCTAACTTGTAGTGTTACATCCCAGTGTTCATTTCTGAAGCTGTTTTAGTTATACATATATATCTCAAGGTTATTATCAGAAGGGGACTGCCTTTTTTATTTTTAGGGCAATTTTGTTTTCTTTTATTAACAATGTTGTGTTTTATTTCTACCGCACAGCAGAGTGACTCAGTTATACATGTATTTATTCTTTTTCATGTTCCTTTCCATTATCGTTTGCAGCAGGATATTGAATATGCTCCCTCTGCTCTACACTAGGACATTGTGATAGGGCCGTTGAGTAGAAGGAATCTTTGAAAGTCTGGGAGATGGGAAGTGACTATAAGTCGGCAGCTTGATAGAACCTAGGGGGAAGTTTTTACTCTGTCAGGAACATGATCAATTCAGAAGCGGGGCCGTGAAGGCTGAGTAGCTGTGGAGATGGCAATGGGACACACAAGACCCGGGGCACTTCTGAAAAGTGAGCAATGAGATAGTCGTGAGAACGCGATTTGATGTGGCCAGGGAGGCAGCGTCACTTCGTGAGCCCCAGTCACATCGGTGTGGTACCTCTCACTCCTCGAGAGGGCATCTTAGTAGAGTTCACAGCCAAGTGGCCTGGTCCCAAGAGTCTCAGAAAAACAAGGAAAAGGTGGAGTGGGGTCTTAGTCAATGGGAAAATCCGGGAAGGGGAAAAGTGAGTCCCAGAGCATAAGGAAAAAAGCTCCAAGAGTCGCTGGGGGAGAGAAGGGCTGAGGAGGAGCGCAGACTGCGCCTTGAACAGAGGCAGAGGCCGGGCATCTGTGCAGGGGCCTTCCTCAGGCTTTACTGGGAGGCCCTTACCTCCTGCGTGAATCACGCCCAGGGTGGAGCATCCTCAGACAAGCAGCAGACTTCCTAGTCTGCTGAGGCTTGGCCTGGTTCCCAAGAAAGAGTGTCTCAGAACTGCCAAGCCCCGAGGGAGAACAGTGACTGAGGCTGGAGAGAAATAACATCTGAGGGTTTTCTTTTTTTTTTAATTATTATTATTATTAATTTTTTTTTTTTTTGGTTTTCTTTTTCAAAACAGCCTTTGATGAGACTAAAATTGAGAAGGAAAACTAGTATGTCTTTTAGCTAGAATATTTTACCTTAAGTGAGGGAACACTTCCTGTGGTACCCTTTATGCTATTTTTATTAAGTACAAAAATGCAGGTGGTTGCCTGCCATGACAGCATGACTCCAAAATAGGAGCTCTCAACCTGGCCCCCACAAAAGTATGAAGGCAAACTTGTGCCATGTCATACATGCCAAATAAAGGAAAATAAAGAAAAAGAAGATAGGACATTGTCCAGTTGAAAGCAAGATACTTTATCTTTCAAGGAACAAACAAAGGATGTGTCGAGAGCTCTTGCATGGCAGGTACTTGGACCAGACTCACTGCAGAATGGTCACAACCAGCCTCTTCCACTCTCACACACGCACTCTCTCTCTGATATCCCAGGAAGGTTTATTCTGGGCTTTTTAGGACATTTTAGCCAGTTTCTAATTAGATTCGAATTATCTTCTGACCTCATCGCACATTCCATTGATTCCCTACTTCATTTTCAGTCATTAATACTGGTCCATTCTGGTTGCCTAAGATGAAGGTTTGGCAACTTAGAGAAGTAAATAAAAGGAAGAGAAACAGCACCTATTTCAAATGATGCTATTCAAGTCTGAGCTTGTGGATCACGTTTACTGTGAAGGCAAGTGGTTGAAAGACCCAAGTTTACAAGACTCATAATTAACTGCCTTTCAGCAGAAGGTGCAGAAGGATGCTGCCAAAATGCTCTGGGACAAATATGTGGACAGCTCTCAAGAGCTCCAAGAGACAGGGTTGCAGAAAGCCTAGCAATTGGGTAATTGTCTCCTAGCAACCAATTGCTGTTTAAGTAATCAGTAGTCATGCCAGTCAGGCTAGACCAGAACATTTCAGTTGCAGTTAACACTAAGTTGTAGACTGGTAAGTAGAATCATTTGTGACATTTCCAAGAGTGCTTCCTGGAGAAAATTTTCAGCACACTTGCTCAGTTGATTCAAGTTATGTTTCTCCTCTTGGTATAAAAATGTGAGATGAGAATTTTTAAACCATAAATGTGTTTAAACCATAAATGTGTTTCCCAAGTGAAGGTAATTTCAACCATTCCATTGAATTTATTGAATGTTGAAAGAAAATTGAAAGATGAAGCAGTCTAGTTAGGAACACAAACAGGGTTTATGTCATTATGTCCCCTAGCCTTGTAACTAATGGCAATGTCACAAACCTATTGCATTTTCATTTTAATCTTGGCAATGCTCTATATAATTATTATCACACTCTAACTGCTCTCTTTTCTACTCCCAAATGAATACTGGGAACCTTTTTTTTTTTTCCTGTGATATCTTCTCTTTCTTCCCTCCAGAGTTATATAACCCTGACCAAACTCTCAGGATTTCAGCCAGTGTGTGACCAAATACATTTCTCAGAGAGGCAAAGAATACATGAATACCATTGTCTGTGTGCGTTTAATAGGAACACTACACAGAGTAAGATTATGAAAAAAAATTTTTAAGCTTCAGATTATTATAATTTAGGTGAGCACTGATTAATGACATTTAGGAGAGAGTTTATACACACACACACACACACAAGATATGCCTTGTTGATATGAGAAATACTGAGTCATTAAAAACTGAACAGATATTTATACTGTCTTTAACTCCAGTTTTAAGAACAAGACCATTTCTATTCATGATTTTTTTTTCCAGTGTGAATATCAAAGGTGTGGAGAACTGAATATGTAAGCTTATATGCCACGCGAAATGGAATTTAATAGCATGCAGTTATTCCCCTGCTCACATTCCAGAAGTTCATTTAAAAGTCAGTGTCCTAAATCTCAGAACCTCTTTTCCTCACTGAAACTGTATTACACATGATTTCTAAGCCAGCCACAAAAGACTTATTTTAACACATAATGTAGCACATTGCATATTAGCACTATTTCAGATACATTTGAACTATTTACCTTCATTTTGTGGGAAATTTTCATCTTGAGATGTTATAAGTTCATTCTCCCTATCTATGCAGTTTGTAGAGTGAAAATGAAGTTACTACATCTAAAGGAACATGTATTTCTGTCACAACAAATGAGCAACTAGCTGTCTCCATTCCTCTTCTTCACTCTGCCTGGGGACACCCCTTCTTCATAGTTCTATTATCAGCACATAGTATCTCAAAGCCTCTCTGCTCTGATAGAGAATAAAAGATAATCACTCTCCTAGGCTTAGA